TAACAAACTTAAGTTAAGTTTATTTGATTTCCACGATAGACTAATGGGTCACGTCCTAATAAACTCTCATCGTATGTTGCAACGCTCAGACTCAGGTCTCTTAGAGTCAAATTCTGGAATGGAATATATCTTCCTTCATGTTCTAATGTGATATAATCACATTTTAACATGTAACATTTCTAGCTACCAGCTTCTTTAACTAGCAAGATACTTCTATTGATCGCTTCGATTATCTTTCACTTCAATCTTCTGGCTTAAGTCAGATGCTACATCAAACTTGGTTCTCTGAACCACATAACATACTAATCTTAGTCGGACTCGATTTGATATGACCACTAGGGTCGAAACGATAATCATCTTCTTAGTCATTACCGAAACAATGGTAATGACATACTCAAATAAAACGAAATCAATTACTAGCTTCTTGGTAACCTTGTGACTTTCCCTGATCCAAGCGTGAGTCCAGTGCTTCCGGTAGTATAGGCCTCTACTACCATTCACACCTACTCATACTTGTCCCAAGTATTGTCTCACAGTCCCCAAGTTCTTATTTCTGAAAAGCACAAAACAATTTAACACATACGAATGTGTCCAAATAATCATAAATATTTCCCTAGACTCTACTAGGACTTCTTCCATGCATATCTTCAACAACAATTCTGCTTCAACTCGGTTGGTGATGAAAACACCAGACGATAGGACAACTATGGGAATTACACCAATCGTTCTATCATCCCGCCAATCAAATGTGTACATTCGTACGTACCATACTCCTCTATACGTAACGTTATTTTATCAGACGTATTCTAAAAGCAAGATACCACTCTTACGATATCTTCCGATAGGTATCATTCAATATCGTAAACCTTCTCATTTCCTCCATTTATTCAATTTTCTACGAGTCTTCACCAAGATGTTATGTTCACGGAAGCATGCATTCAGTCTATCGAGACGAGAATATAGATAGAGAAGATTTAGACGCGTATTCCACCTTATTACTCTGAAAAGTTACATGCCAGTTCTAATATCGTAATTAAACGTTTAGAAGTCTGAACACATAAAATTTCCAGATCCGGTCAACAACAGACCATAGATCCGATCATATAATGCATATCTTAAATCATTTAGCACATAAAAGCATTTTAGGCAACTTCCCTAATTAAGCTAGTGCTTGTGTCTATTCAGGTGTACTACCTAAAATATATTAGACACTCTTCTCACGATCATCGCTTAGCATTCTAAGTTTAAGTCTAGAAATAAATCTTTATTCCTAGTTCGCTTAAACTAATGCTCTGATACCAACTATGACATCCCCATTTTTCACGGCCAGAAAAGACCGATTTTGTTTATGCTTTATAAAAATCAGACTACTTCTTTTAAAGAAAAGTGTTACGAAATTTGTTCCCAGAATGATAAATACGTTATCAAAGAATTTCCGAAGAAATGTATTTTTATTTAAAACATTTGGGATGTCATCGTCAATACAGAAACATAAGCATAAACAGAACTTACATTCATTTTCACTAGTGATTTATATCCCCTTAATCTCTCAGTGTAATGTAACTTCATATCGAAACCTGTGATACAAATAAGCTTGAGTGGGTCAGGTTGGGAAACCTGGTGAGTACATAGGGATTTCAATCCCACAATGTTATATCATATATATATATATATATATATATATATATATATATATATATATATATATATTAGAACTCACAAAATATACAATTTCACCATATATATAAGCAACTCTTACCCCACCCCGTTAATCCTCACAACGAGACTGTCCATACTCTCGGACCTTAAATTTTACCTTTTACTTAGTCCATACTCTCGGATCTAATCCATGCTCTTGGATCAATAATTGTTCCCATTCCATACTCTCAGATTAGGGACAAGTGTCTATGTGTAAATCCATACTCCCGGATTAATGACGAATAACTATGTCCTGTCCATACTCCCGGACTATGGACAACTGACTATGTCTTAATCCATACTCCCGGATTAATGACATTTGACTGTGTCCAATCCATACTCTCGGACTAGGGACAATGACTATGTCTAGTCCATGCTCCTGGATCAATGACATATACTAAAGTTCTATTCTCTGAGTATAACTCACTCGTACTCGTAAGAAGATACTACCCAATATTCCTCATAATTAATTTAGGTTTACTCTTTGTCCTAAATCATCATATATAATCAGGTATGTTCTTTAGCACGTATTTCAGGCAACATCAAATAACTCGCACATAAACATATATTTAATACATCAATCAATACTTATATTAAAATCATGTTCATGAGAGGGACTATGCACTCACCTGATAAGGTGGTGACTCGGTACTCGGACAACGCTTCGTTACTCTTAAAACAATTTTCCTTGGAAAAAACCTAGTATCATTACCACTATAGTTTAGTCTAATATTCATCGAGACTAATTAATAGTCTAGATATTATTACTATTATATAAGCGTGAAAGAATACTCTTCACCCACTATGTACAGACAGGGCCAGACATGAAACACCGGAGGACAGGATCATTTTGGCATAAAGCACTTCTGAATACAGCAACCCAAGCGGCCCTCCAAACCAGATTCCCCGTACCGCGAGTGGTTAAAAAGATATTATAACAACACTTATATAACTCATAATAATAGCCCAAATACTCATTATAAGGTCCTAATAACATTACTATATTAAAACATAAGTTATACTAAAGATAGGTTAGGTATAACTCACTTACAGCGGGTTTTCTCGAAAACCGGGCTTCACTGGAGCAGCGTTTCAGAGCGGAAAGACTCTTTTTCTCAGGGCTTCGGGAGCCTCAGGGCTTCCTTAGGGTGCTAGGGGGTTTACCTAGGCTTAGGGGGGGGGGGTTTGGGGGCTAGAGAGAGAGTTTAGGGAGAGAGAGAAGAGGTTGGAATGGTGTGAAGAATGAGGGAACCCGACACCTCTATTTATAGGCTGCCAGGCAGCTGGACTTGCCGAGTTGGGTCACTGACTCGCCGAGTCAGTGCCATGTGTCATCATCTGATGGCTTTTCTTGGGGAGAAAGCAACGGCTGTGATCGCGCCACGTCACCAAAACTCGCACAACACCCTCCCGATTTAGAAAAATCATAACTCTCGCATACGAGCTCCGTTTTCGACATTCTTTATATCCACACGTAGGTAAAAACAAGATCTACAAATTTCATTTAGACTCCGTTGGATAGTTCTCAACCGATATTAAAGTTAACAGTAGGAGGAGATTATACTGTTAAATATCCGCGTAAAATTCATAACTTCTACATACGAACTCCCTTTTCGTCTGTCTTTTTATTGTTGAGTTCCTATTAATGATATCTTCAACTCTCATTTAGGTCGCATAGGCCAAGAACCGCTCAAACTAAAATTCGAGTTTCGGGTCGTGCACTGCTATGCCAAATCTTAGAAAATTCATGACTTCCTCATACGAAGTCAGATTTGGGCGTTCTTTTTTTGTATGTTCTTGGTTTAACGTATACTACAACTTTTGTTTAGATTAATAAGGCTAAAAACTCATCTATCGTAAATTCACTATTTACATCTCCCGGTGCCGTGCCGGTTTTGCCATAAAACTTCGACGAGCCATAACTTCTTCGTTATAACTCGGATTTTGGCGTTCTTTATATGTACGGAAACCTTGTAACATATACGAATACTTGGTTAAGATTATTCTTTCTAAATAATCTTCCATCAAAAACTCATTTTTGATGCTCATTGTCTCTAAATTGACTAGCCCGGATCTACGGGTGTTACATATAACATTCCATATTAAAAGGAACCCACACAAACCCACACACTACTAGAATATATGCCTTTAATAACACGCAAACCATGACACACAGTGATTTGTGATACGCAAATGTGCGTGTCCTTAAAATAATGTCATCTCTTCCAAAATTTAAAGGATTTAGGACACGCATTTTTGCGTGCCCTAAAATTAGTGTCTAAACAAAACAAAAAAAAAACTCGGAGGGCACCTATAATAAAATGTGTGTCATCTACGGATGTCGTTTTATAAATTTTTATAGAAGGCGCGTTCCATCCTTTAATAGCTAGGGGGAAAATGAAATCCCCAAAAAATTAAAAACCCCGCCTTGTGTTGAAAGCCCTCGTCTCCTTTACATGGATGAAAACCCCCTTCTCATCAGATTTCTGGAGCTATCTCCCCCATTTTGTGGAGATTGATGTAAACTGCAACATTCTTAAACCAGGGGATTCAATTAAATAACCAATTAGGGCAAAACGCAACCCGCTGACCACTTCTGCTCTCAAGAAACCTCAGGTACGTACACTTTTTCTCCTTTTCCTCTTCCTATTCCTCTTCTTCTCCGTACTCTTTCTCCTCCCTTCCTCGCCGGTGGTCGCCGCTGCTGCCTACTTCGACCAGCCTTGCCCTTCCTTTTTCCCTAGCCCAGGAGCATATGTCGACGACTTCTCCGATTCATATGTTCAACAGATCGTTCATCATGCATCTTCGAGGCTAAACCCAAATCGAAATCGGAGGGTAAAATTAATAAAATACTAGATACAAGGGTAACATCTTATAAGCTAGGTTTTATAAGGTACCATCATTTCTAGTGTATCTCTCTTAATCTTTTGCGTGTACTTGTTCTTTTCAACATCTTTAGTTTTGTCTTGTATCTCTCTTAATCCTCTGGAACAGAGCTATCAAAATTCGGCATCTCCAAATTTCACTCATTAATTTCATACAAAACTTGGTAGCTTTTGAAGATTTAGTGGAGTTTCTTGTTAATCCTTCACCCTCCATAGATAGCCAATGTTGTAATTTTAGTCGTATTTCTGCCTACCTCTTCTTAAAATCTTGATAAAGTGAGTTAAATGGAGAAAAGAATTGTTAGGGTTTTAGACGAATCTTTACAAGGCACCCTGAGATTTTATATCTTTCATTGAACTGTAAGACCATTTATGTGGCTCTTAAGGGTATAAAAGAGGAAATTTGGTGTATGCATGTCCGATTGCAAAACACAAAGGGAAGTTTCATCGTATTATAACTATAAGGACTTGATTAATTACAGGAAGAAAGGGTTGGATATGTTATCTGAGTTGGATAAACCTGTGGTAGATGATACGATTGGGATTGATGAAAAGGATTTAGATGATGAAGATATTGAAGCAAGTGGTGAATATTACCAAAATAGTGTGTATATTGTTATGAAGCTTAACAAGCAAACCTTTACAGACACCTACATTCATTCATTTATATTTCCATCAATCAATCAATCAATTCATCCTTATGTGCATATGGCTACTTACGTATACTATTGTTATATGTTAACAATATTGCATAGACTTACAGTGTGTCTGTGACTTTATGTACAACAGAGCACTTCAGTGAATATCATAGTAGGATCTTGTTTCTGGGTTGAAGACCCAGACAAAGCATGGATTAATGGGCAGGTTACAAAATTATTGGTCAAGAAGCAGAAACCGAGACTCCTGACCTAAAAAAGGTTTGTACTTCACATTTTATTTTTAAAAACTATACTTTCATCTTACTCTTAATGACTGATTGTTTAAAACATGAGTGCTTTTTCATGATTTCTCTTTCAGGTTGTTGCTAAATTATCAAAAGTGTATCCAAAGGATACAGAAGCTCCTGCTGGTGGTGTTGATGACATGAAAAAACCTTATTATTTACATGAGCCAGGAGTCTTGCAGAACATAAGAAGCAAATATGAACTCAATGAAATTGATGTAAGTTTCCTTATTCATGTTAAAGTTAAAACCTAACTAAGATTGCTTTGTTTCTTTACATGTTTCAAATGGTGACAGACTTACACTGACAATATTCTAATTGCAATCAATCTGTTCCAAAAGTTACCTCATTCGTATGATAGTCATATGATGGATGAATACAAAGGAGCACCTTTTGTAGAACTGAGTCCCCATGTTTTTGTAGTTGCTGATGTCTCTTACCGTTCATTCTTGTTTTATGAATAAGTTACCAATAGCTTCATCATCAAAGCTAATATATAATTCCAATCAATGGGAATAATATACAAGACTATTATCAATGAGGGAAAGAGCAATTCCATTTTGGTGATTGGGGAAAGTGGAGCAGGTAAAACAGAGACAACAAAAATGCTTACGCGGTATTTAGCTTATTTGGGTGGAAGGAAAGCTACAGAAGGTCGCACAGTTGAACAACAACTCCTCGAAGTATGATACATGACATATAGTTCTACAAACAGTAATTTACCAATAACCCCATTTTTGTTCCTATTTGCAGTTTTAATTTAAAGACATAAAAGGGTATACAACATTTGAAATCACATTGATTAATTTTCTTTTATTAAAGAATCGTTAAATTAATACTTTATTTCAGCTATCTTTTTATTTCTATTTGTATATTAGATCACATTATTTTGCTTATTCAACTATTTTATATATTTATAAAAAACGTACTATGTGTAATAACGTATATATAGACTTACTTTAAAAAAATTATACAATCAATATGTGGAGGTCTAGTTTAACGAGGATCAGTTTATCAAAGAGGTTAATTGGATCAATAATATAAGTATACCATTTTATTATTTATTATGCACAAAAAATATAAATATATAGAAACAACTTTTTTACTAAGTTTACAAATAATAATGTTTGAAATAGAGTTTCACAAAACAATAAGTAACGATAACTTATGAATAGTTTGAAAATTACTTCAAAATAAACTTGTGATTATATACAAAAAGAATAAGGGGAGGTAGCATATAAAATTTTCCTATATTATTTTACATATTTTTATTTATTTATTTAAGGTGATGGCAATTAATGAGTCATCGAGGCTGTATGCTTCAATTACAACGGAAAACGTTCCTGTTAAAATACTTGTTCATCAAATTCTTCCCCCTTCTACTTCTAACTGCAACTTTTGTGCTATGAAAAGGAAGGTAAGATATTTTTCTCATATTATCATGTTGTCTTTCCGTGTGAATATTATAATTTCTTGTTTTTGAATTTTGTATATATGTAACCCATTACCCCTCAATGACAGATAAGATCAAGTTCAATGTAAGTGAAAGAGAAGAAGAAAATCAAAATGAAACTACAAGAAGATTCTGTACTAATTCAGCTAGTGGTTGGCAGTGAGAGTGTTGCTTCTGATCCAGCAACTTCTACTGTATCTGCTCCAACATAATCATCAGTTTAACCGAAAGGTAAATGTAGAATCTTATGAAACTCATTTACCACTTTTAGATGAAATCATTCATCTAACAATATTAGCTTTTCTGGTTATGTTGTTTTTCCATGACAATCTTTCCATGACGTCATTGGAGGAGGGGTATATGCCACCTGTAACATTCATTGTTGTACAAAAGAGGCATCACACATGTTTCTTTCCTATGAAACATGGAGATAAAGCTAGCACTGACAGGATTGGCAACATTCTTCCAGGTTTTCAACAGAGTTATTATTTGTAAATAAGTACATAATCATGGTTTCATTTATTAAGAATGAATGTTAAATGTTATGTTAGCAGGGGCTGTGGTTGACACAAAGATTTGCCACCCAATGGAGTTTGATTTCTACCTGTGTAGTCATGTTGGTATTCAGGTGAACCAACTGAACTACTTGAGCTTAATAAATCTTTCAGTTTAAAAGGTGATGATATATCTGATTTGCAGGGAACAAGTAGGCCAACATATTACCATGTGTTGTATGATGAGAATAAGTTCACTCCTAATGGTCTCTAAATTTTAACAAATTGTCTATGCTACACTTATCAAAGGTGTACAAGATCTGTGTCCATAGGTATAAATAATATCTGAATGCTCTTGTTCTTTGAGAATAATATTATGCTAAAACTATATATGATATATTTCAAATAAAAAAATGCAGCTCCTCTGGCTTACTATGCGCACTTGGCTGCATTTCGTGCTCGTTATTACATGGAGGGGGTGAATTGTCTGACAGTGGTTCTTCACATGGAGTCGGGGGTGTGCAACAAGAAGGTGCCCCTTAATAGCAATGTAGTATTAGGTTATATAGTTAGGGAAAACCTCTTAATGACAATGTACAATCATATCCCCTTAATATCAATGTATTATAATTTTTTGACATAATGTTATTGGATGAAATTGATTGTTTTGGTATATATTTGTTTCTATATTTTTGTATTATGCGTAAATGAGTATCGTAAAGGCACTTCGTATATGCATATCGTAAATGGTTGTTGAAGTTTATGACACCCAAATGCGTGTCATCTTCATTTATGACATGGGCTTTAATGATACGCAATGCGAGTCGTCTTTCTTTATGACAGGGGCTTCCTTGATACACATTGCGTGTCATAAAGGAACGTCGTAAATGCGTTTCATAAATGCGCGTCATAAATGTGCGTCGTAAAGAGACGACGCGCAAAAGCGTGTCGTCTCTCGTTATGACAGGGCCTTCCTTGACACGCATTTGCGTGTCGTCCGAGCGTTTTACGACACGCATTGCACATCGTAAAAGGCTATTTTTCTAGTAGTGACATACCCCCTACAATAACCACATTGATAGTGCAAACAACACTATTTTTAACAAAGACATTCAGGTCCCAAATAGATAATAAACCACCCGATCCCCCATGTTCCCTACGAAAAGCAAAATCATGGTTACAATTGCCCCACATACTCCGAACTCTAAACAAATCCAATTGTGTCATCCTCGGTTCTTTTAGGCCCAAAAACGAAACTTTAAAGACCTTTTATGCTCAAGGATCATTATGAAATGATATATGCTAATAACATATGATCATATAGGGCCACACCATATAATAATTAAGCACTAATTTATTATTTATTGAGTAATATGATTATTAATACACTAAATCATCACTCGTATTTAATTGGGAAATTGTTGTTTTTTGGATAAACAATAATATAAGGTATAATTAGTAACATTTAAATCATATGTTATGCCTTAAATTTTATGTACATATTATTGGACCTATAGATCACCACTAACTAGTTGTGTAAATTATATTAATAAGATAAAGTGTTAGGCACTCCATCCGTTCTCGTATACTCCAAACCGTCAACTAGAGAGCATGGGAGGAAGATTGCTTCCCTTAACTTGTTCTTGCCCATCTCTTGTTGCTTGTAAGTACATGATACATTAAATGAGGGCATTGAATTTGATTTTAATTGATATCATATATAAAATATTCATGAGAGACTATTACTAGTTTACATGCTTTCCTTTTTCCCTTCTTGAAGAACAAAAATAGAGAAGCACATGAAGCCATCCCCTCTCTTCTTTTGTTTACTTCTTGCTTGCATTTTATGGTTGGATTTGGCTCTCCTTTTAATTCTTATTTGTTATGAGACTTAAAGGCTTAAGAATATGTCCATATAAGTTAATAAGTAGCATTCCTTAGTGGGTTGGTGACTTGGTTTGAGTGGATACATATAGAGAGCTCCTAGCTTGGATTTTGCATTTCTTCATCAAATTCCAAGCCTCTCATTGAGGACTCAGAGGACATGAAAGGTTGTAATTCTTCTAACTCCACTTTGGTTGTTGTTTTTTTCCAACTCTTTCAATATGATCCTTGGTAGGAATAAACTAGTTATGATGTTCAAATTTTAAGTCACCTTTTTGCTAAATATCTTGAGTATTTGAAACTTATTTTTAAATACAACCCAATAATTGGTATCAGCGTCATATTGGAAACTTTATTAGAATTTATAATTATTAGGATAATCTTGGTTTTTGGAAAATATGGATAACTTTGCTTTTGTTAAAAACAAGTTCTCACATATTTCTTTGACAACTGTATAATGACAAAAGTTGTCGTGTATATTTTGTCATTAAAGTTGTCTTATAAAAACGAAGGTTGTTTTGTATACTAGATATATTTTAGAGTGCATAAACAAGCCATGAACTTTATTATGTGTTTGTTTGTGATGATTCATTAAAATGGTTGTAATATTCTTTTATTCATAATGGTATATAATAATAAGTAGCCAGTTTTTCATCTTTGTTATCTTATGTAATTGATTAGTTTTAGAGTACATTTATTTTACATAAAATGTAACAAGATGAAGATGATGGCCATTTCGAAGATTCTTGGTGATGCCTACGGTTTTATAACACTTTTATAAAGTTCATAACTTTTTAAAAGTCTTATAAAATTACAACAAAGTAGGTTGTCATTGCAAACGGGAGCTTGAAATCAACATGAAGAACAGCTTGAAGATTTTGGTCCACTTAGTCCCTTAGGAAAGGACTTGAATCTTTTATGTTGGTTCATAAAAGTGTCATTAGATCTTGGCTTCTTTTGTACTAAAATTGCATGCATGTGATGTTTAAAATAAAGTTGATTATTATGTATGTTTGATAAATTAGTTTTTCACATGCTTAATTATTTTTTTGGAACAAAACAAACATCACATGGAGTTTGGTTTCAAAATTTAAAATATGAACATAATATGTAACATGTTATGCCTTTAAAATAAAAATCGGGTTTATTAAAATATTAATAATGACAAATTTTGAAATATTAAATTATAAGTCTAAAAATGGTGATTTTAAATTTATGCAAATTCCAATATCTAAATAATAAAATGAAATTTTATTAAATGATACAAAAGGTTCTACAATGCTCAAACTTCAAACTTCATATCAGATATTAGCTTCATAATTGAACAGCATCAATTTATATAAAACCTAGCTTTTATATGGAACCTTTAAAATTGATTTTTGAAAATTGGTATCATGGTTTATTATATGCATGTAATAACCATGATATCATATATTTTTATAATAAATTAAAAAAAAATCAAAAACCTCTTATAAACCTAAAATCTATGCAATCCCTTTTGAAAACACTCACACGTCTGTAGATACGCTAGCGGGATAAAGGATAATTAACCGCTTAGTGTTATCTTTTGATGCATGAGGTAGTTTGAGACTTTCTAGTGGGATAAGGAATACCTAACTGCTAGTTATGTGCCGACCCAACATGTCATTCAAATTGGATGATTTGATTGAAAATCTGTTGTGATAAAGGATACTTAAGCAACAGAGATATGAGGCATGGATGGGATCAAAGATGTCTATTAAATTTTTTTATTAGCTGTAACACCTTGTTTCGATTCAGTCCATAGTTCGAGGCCGTGAACCGAAGATCAATTATCATAAGGCTTCGGGCCTTGGGGAAGGAGAGGTTTAGATGCATTTTGATGTGGGTAATGTAGTTTATGTGATCCAAGAGTTCGGTTTGTGCTTTGGAGCCCAGGGTATAGTGGGAAAAGTGGTGTTTTAGACTTCTTTTATGAATTAAGAATTTTCGTTCGTTGTGTTTTAAGTTAAAAATAATTAGATAGGGTTGTAGAGCTCCTCAATACCTATTTGTGGATATAAATATCTTCGAAATCGGAGTTGAAACGAAGAAGTTATGACCGTTTGAAGTTAGGACAGTCTTGGGTTAAGCCGCATACGCTGAGCGTATGGGGAAGTACAATGGGCGTACTACGGTATCCATGAGAACGTTGGGTGTACCAGGAGTACGATGGGCATACACGATCGGTTCCTAAACCCTATTTTCATGGGTTGATTTCTATTTAAGCTCCTTAACTTCCCCAACCCCATGCCATTCTCAGCCTCCACCTCTCCAACACCCTCCCTTGAAACCCTAACCCTTGTTTGAGCCTTGTGAGCAAAACAAAGTGTTTTTAAGTTCTTTGGAGTGTTCTTGGTACATCTTGGAGAAGAAGGAGCTCATTGGAGAAGTGTTGGTTGCATTGGAGCTTGTAGATCCAGACTTTTTTCACCTGAACTTTCTTCTAGAGGTATAAAGCTTGAATCTTGATGATGCATTTGTTAGGTCTAGCTAGTTTTGGGTGTTATGATCTTTTGGTCACTCTAGTGCATAAATTTTAGATCTTGAAAGTTTGTGACCTTGTTATGGATAAAGTTTCCAACTTTATCCATCTAAACATCATATTGATTCAGATATGAAGGTAGGAGACTTGGCCTTAATGGATTAAGTTGAAAAAGATGCACTTTTGGTCCCTTGGAGACTTAAAGACTAGATCTTGGTTGTTTATACCATTCTAATGGATAAAGTTGGAAACTTTATCCATTATGGAGTTAATAGGAACCATAAAAATGTAACCTTGGACCTTAGTTTCCTTCCATGCATGAGCTAGGATGTCTTAAAGAGTTAAGAAGTTAGGGTTTTTGGTATTGAGCACATAATAGCCATGCAAGACCATAAAGTTGGAAGCTTTATGGTTAAGGACATCATTTGAGGACTAGATCTGGAATTTGGACAGAAGAGCTTAAGGGATTAAGCTCTTAATATAAGTAAATGATGGCTGAATATACATTGGGCGTACACAGTGGTATGCAAGGCGTATAAAGTCAACATCTCGTTTCTGATAAAGGCTTGAGTATGCTAAGCGTAAAAGCTGAGTATGCTGGGCGTACTCAGCTGAGTTGACTCAGTTGACTTTTTGGACTTTCTGACGTTGACTTGTTTTTGACCAAGTTTGACCTAGGGGTATTTTAAGTATATTGATTATAAGTTAAGTTTGGTCATGTTCCAAGGAATAGGTCACCGGTAGAGTTGATATTCAGAGCAGTGTACTGTTCAGCGATCTTTCAAATTGAGAGGTGAGTTTTCATTCATTTTACTCGTGGGTCGAAGGCACCAATGTCGGCCCAATGGGTTATGTTTGTAGAATGATAGTTGTCTTTGTGATACTTA